TATATATATATATATATATATATATTTACACACACACATACACATATATATACACATACATATATATACATATATACATATATACACACACATACACAATTTGTTACACTGAGAAATGTTGAAAAATCCCTAAGTATTAACCAAACAATTGTCTCCTTGTGATCCAGTTGTTACCAATGGAAAAACCAGGTGCTTTTTAGCCAACAGTTCCCAAAGCCTTAATCATACAGACCCGTCAGTAACAGCTGCTACACTTTCACCTTTCTCCCACCTCATAGGTTACGTTGGTTGTTATGTTAGGCAGACATACGGACATTTCCCACAAACCCAGTGCCAACAGAGCAGCAGGACATTGCCCTCGTAAAAAAACAAAAAACAGAGGCACTTGGTTAAATAAACACTCACAGATCTGAGTTTATTCTTACCCACTGAGGAATAATGCCCTCTACATCTTGCAATTAAATCACAACAATCATAATTTCATAAAGAAAAATACAGAAAACAGAAGCTAAAAGCTCCATCTGTGACGTCCTGCTAATTGTCACGTTTGCTTTAATTTCCACGTGCATGTAAACCACTAAGCATTAAAGGCCAACAATTGTCATTATTTAAAACATTTGATGAAGCTGATGCACTTAAAAACTAGCTGCAGAAAATAAAAGGTGTAACCATAAACCATCCCTACTGTGGATTACTTACTTTTTGTTGTCGCGTATTGTTGAGATAATGCCTACCAAGTATTCATAAGGATGTCAACACCACGTGGATTAGACAAAAATACCATTCTATTTAGTTTTTTTTTTTTTTACATTATTGCGTAACACCAGTTTTCAACATAAAAGTCGATTTATGACAAAACGTACGCAGGGCAATACTGCTTACCTTTTAGGTTACGTCATACATCTAAATCAGTTCTCCTGCTACAGCTTAATTCAGGTTTACACAGCGCAGGTGTGAACGGTGCCTTAACAGACGTTTACTGGTATTAGGTTGTCGGTGTTACGTCTGTCTTTATATATCTATCTGGATACACACCGTGTGTGTGTGTGTGTGTGTGTGTGTGTCAACAGGTCGCCTACCTGTGTGAGTGGGGTTTCGCCGGTGCAGGGTCGCAGGAGACCGAGCAACAGCAGGGGTAAGAAGGACCGCATCACGTCTCGTCCTTCACCGACACGGTGGTCGACTCACTGTGAGCTGTCTGTCCGCTTCTCCCACGGGATGATATGACTCCTCTGGCTGTGGGGGCGGAGGGCCGCACAGCTGGCTGAGATAACGCCCCCTGCTGACGTAACGACGTAGACAAGTACCGTTATAAGTTTTCTTCTGGTATCACAGCATTCACATGGTGAGGAGCCAGCTCTTTAAAACTCACTTTCTCTCATTAAAACAGTCTGCCAAAAATAAAGCAAACACAGTTGACTAGGTCTGTGTGTGTGTGTGTGTGTGTGTGTGTGTGTGTGTGTGTGTGTGTGTGTGTGTGTGTGTGTCTGAGCATGTGTGGGGCTTAACCACTGTGCACATTAATAAACAGCATTCATTTAGACTAGAGAACACAATATATCAGTGCCGGGCCGTGTGTTTTATACCTGGGCCTTCAGTGATGTCCTACTACAGTTGAACCACCTCTCAATAACCTCATTATGACGCCACAGCTACGGGTTGTTATTTGTTTCGTGTAAAAAAAATGCATATTCACATAACACTGCAACATTTGACAAGTGAAATAAAATGTTACATGAAGCTCAACACCTATGAGGGCTACAAATACTCTAACTGCAGAGTGCAGATACATGAATGCGCACATGACGGGATGCTTCGTCATTAAAGGGCAATGCATATAGTAAAAATCAATGTAATTAACACAATGACAGGAACAAACTCACAAGAACCAGTCACATTTATCTATATGACAACAAAGCAGGTATAAAATAAAACCCAAATAACACGATTCAACAGGCCCCTGCACATTCCAGCAACAAACTAAAACACATATTCCACCACACACTCAAGAGCACCATTCAAATATTATTCACATCAGAGGGAACAATATTAACCATATCATAAAAACAACACGGTAGAAGCTTTAGTAACGCTACTGCAGATGTAAAAAATCAAAAGCAGTTCACTTACCAAAGCTGCTGTTCACTATTTAAAGACAAAGTACAGAATGATATAATATGCATAATGTTTGTACTTTTCCATGATGCTTGGTAACAGAAACAGACCGTGCAGCTGTCTCATTAGCTGTGACCTTGCAGTCCACAGGATCTCTATGAAGAGAGATAACATTGAAGTTTGTTTAAAAAGAAGATAAAGGAGGACTGGTTCAACCTGGTACCAACCCTCACCATACTTTGTTATGAAGCTTGTTTATCACTGTGTATGAAGGACAGAGACTCAGAGACAGATCTCTGAGCAGCAACTTGACGCATAACCGTATGTGATACAACTCTGCTCCTTCTAGCAAGAAAAAAAAATGTAATGTCACGTAAAAACGTCTTACATATCTTTCAACTTTAACTCTTATAAAGTTCTGCTAGCTAGTTTCCCAACAGTCACACTAGCCCACTGATCAATCAAGCTGCACGTTAATGGTGAGACAATAAGCTAATGGGAATACATGTAGTGTATTTATCAATTATTAATAATTGAATTATAAAATAGCTATAACTTTGTGATTTTGTCTAGACCAGCAGAGAAGGCCTTGCTGGCCCTGACGGCCCACCACTGCTATATATATAGCCTGAGATATAAATGAATAAAGGAGACTGGAGTTGGAGTTGAACTTTGTTGAACCTTAATGAATACAAGATGATAAGCGCTACCTTCCTAAAAAGAGGAGAAAAACTGTCGGTTTAGTTCATATTCATGATTCATTTCTCCTCTCTGGGATCAGCTGTTGCCATGGTGAGCTGGTACTTGGCCAGGTGCCCTGTGGGTGGCTGACGTTCCTAATTCCACTCCTGCTGCAGCCCCTCACAGACCATAGTTTACACAGTATTCGGTGAAGATCTGCACTGTCCCGCAAGGCCACATACATTCTTTTTGCAGCAAGTTAGCCGGAGTATAACGGCATATTGGATTTGTGAATTAGTTTAGTCTCTTTAAGGGATTTAAAAAAATTAATTCACATATGTTATGATCCCAAGTTGAGTGACGGACCCCGGAGCTGCTATTGGAGCAAACTCCAAGGACACAATCACAGCGGCAATGATGATTTCTTGAAGAAATACAGGTACATTTTACAACACAGAACCACAAGACACTAATTGTATATTTTGTAAATATTGAATATAAAAACTTAATGTCCAACTCATATCCAGAAATACTACACAAAATACTAGAGGGCCCCCTACGCCTTGGTCCCCTGTGTAGTTCATCTCTGGGTGTAGGCTGGCAGTTCCAACATTGACCACACGAGGTCGACATTGAGCACGTTGTGTTTCCTCTAAGGCCAGACTAGCGGGGAGTCGGGGACATCCACACTAGCAGGAGTGCAGTCAGTGAGCCCATCCACTCGGCTGAGCTGCTCAGAGATGGCGTCCCTTCTGCAGCCGGATAGAGTTGTCTATCTGGTTCGTGGAGAGAAAAGGATCAGAGCCCCTCTATCCCAACTTTATTTCTGTCGCTATTGTAGTGAGCTACGGTCTCTGGAATGCGTGTCTCACGAGGTACGTGGACGTTTTGCCTTACTGTCCTCAAGCTAGCTGTTAGCTTAATTTAGTCAGCAGCTACTTTGTTGTTAGCCGGTTTGCTAGTAGCTTTGACAGGTAGGTGGGATTAGTCCAGCCACCTCGCGCATTGTATGGCTAAGCCGCTTGTCAATCAACAGCCGGCTCATCTCATTGGCTACAAGCGACGGGTTAACTTCCGCTGGAGTTAGCGTTATTTCGAGCACAGCATAAATCGGCGGACAAGCTAGCTAGCTAGCTAGCTCTTGGTATTCTTTGAGTGTAACGTTTAAGTATTTGCCGAGCTCATAAATAAAGAATATGTCCGACAAGTACAAACTATTTGTTATTAGGTCACCCCAGCTCACGTCTTCACAGTCAAAATCCATCTTGTTAACGTGGCTCACAGTCATGGACACCACACCCAGACCGCTTTAGCTTTCTCACATATTGCGATTTCAGATTATCAGTCAGTGATTGTTCTTTGTAAACACGTGATTGCTTATCGTTACAGTAAAACACGAGTCCTATTCTCCTGAAAAACATCATTCAGTTTAAGATGTGGATGCGCAGGTTGACTGACTCCTCTCTTGAACCCCTGTTTTTGGTGATCAGGTGGACTCCCACTATTGTCCCAGCTGTCTGGAGAACATGCCGTCTGCAGAGGCTAAGCTTAAAAAGAACAGGTGAGACGCTCCTGCTTAAAGAGAGCTACGTGCATACACAATATAGAGATCTTGCAGGTCACTGCTGACTGTACCTGTCTGGTCTCCTTACGCCATCAAATAAACGCTGTTTCTGTCCTCTCATTCATTCCTGATTATCTGTGCTGCAGGTGTGCAAATTGTTTTGACTGCCCATGTTGCATGCACACGCTGTCCACTCGAGCCACCAACATCCCAGCTCCTCTGCCCGATGATCCGACCAAGACGGCCATGAAGAAGGCCTACTACCTGGCCTGTGGCTTCTGTCGCTGGACCTCCAGGGACGTGGGAATGGCTGACAAATCAGTTGGTGGGTGCAGACATGAATAATGTAGATGCATCAATGTGCTCATGTTTTAAGTATTTCCAAAAAACTTCAAAAAGAAGCATCCACGGTACCAAGTAGGTCTCCAGTTGCTCATTAATTCAGCACATGTACAAAGCTGTTGTCTTGTATTTGTTTCTTATGACTCATGTTTTGTCTGATTTTTGTTTACTGCAGCCAGCGGTGGATGGCAGGAGCCAGACAACCCTTCTACTCAGCGGGTAAGTCCCCCCCCCCCCGTGGTCATTTAGTCTCACAAGTTGCTCACATGCTTCCTGACCATGAAGTCATCAATAGATGTGCCTGTGAATAATAAGTGACACCCACACATAGCTGGCCAGAGGCAGAATGTTGCTTAGTTGCCGAGTCGAGAAATGCGCCACAAAATTAACCATTTCTAAGCCTTCAATTATTGCACAGAAGTATTTTCAGTGTTTCTTTTCAGGATTGTAACTATTAGTGATCATTTATCTGCACTTTTCCACTTTTCACAAGTTGAAAGTTTGTCAGTCGATTGTTTTGAAGGGTGCCTGTAAGGCCTTATTGTGTTATTGTCAAGCTGTTGTGTAACCAAACATTACATTACATTACAGTCATTTAGCAGACGCTTTTATCCAAAGCGACTTACAATAAGTGTATTCAACATCGGTTTTCGAGAGAACAACTAGTCACCAGAAGTCACAAGTTCATCTCCTTTCTTCAAACAAGCATCTAATAGCATAAACCAGAGCCAACGTACAGTGCAGAAACAAACGAATGCAATAAGTGCCACAAACTAATATAAAAACAATAAGTGCAATAATCTAGTATGAATACAATAGATGCTAAGTAAGTGCTAAGTGGTGGCTCAGGGTGTAAATACAATATGTAGTGTTGGGACACTTACTGGGTTGTTTTATAAAAAAAAAAAGAATACATGAGGCATTGATGACCAGTTGATTGATGACCAATGATTTGTTTCCCCACAGATCAATAAGCTGATCGAGTATTACCAGCAGCTGGCCCACAGAGAGAAGCAGGACAGAGACAGGAAGAAGCTGGCCAGGAGGCGACAGTGCATGCCTCTGGCGTTCTCGGTACTTTACCTCCTATGAGCCCAATTCAGCCTTTCAAAAAAAATGAAATACCTTCTTCTTTTCCTGTTCAAATGCAAACAGCTGTCGTCTCACTGTAATCTGTGACAGAATCTAGAGATCAATGATGATATACATTCGAGAGATCTATTTGATACGGAGGTTCTAACTAAATCTCAATAACATTACCAATGACACATTGAAAGTTTGTGGCCTTGGGGATATTATTTGATAAGCAAACATTTAACCAAAGCAGGAGTGAATAATAAGCAGCTCGGCTGCTCATGTGTTTCCTTGGAGTAAAAGATTTACACCATGTCTACACTTGGGCGGATAAGTATGAACATGCTTTTTATTTGTGGAGACGACTTTTGGGTACATTTTCAAAAAGTTCTCCTTCCATATTGAAATTTCAAAACAACAGAAAAGAATCCTGCTTAGTCCGTCTGAAAGGTCAGAACGGAGCAGAAGATGTGCTTTCTTTAATAAAGCGAGTTGCCCCGGTGTGGACATGGTCTTCCTGAGCTTGTTGGCTCATTCTGCTTCTACAATGTTAACATCCAATAATGCAAACCAGTCTGTCCTGTCGTGTGTTGGAAACATCTCCAGACATTAAGCTGCTATGTCCTGCAGTTGTTTTCCATCACTGATAGCATTTCTGTTGCTGTTGCATGTCACCAAATGCCACTAATGTTTGCTGAATTGCTTTTGTTTCACCTGGTTCTTTGTTCTCTCCTTTTCCTTTGCTTATGCACTCTGATATTTTGGTTTTTGCCCTCCCTCCCCCCAGCAACACACTATTCATGTGGTGGTGAGTTGTATTTTTCACAACTTGGATAGTCTCATCTTTACAGTAGCACTGTCTTCTCTGCGTCTCTCTTCCTGTCTAATCTGTAACCGAGTGACCTCACAGATCACATGAATGTTGGGTAATTGAGACGGAGATCCAAACAATGGGAGCCTTTGTGTTCATAAGAGGGAGAGAAGAAACCAAAGACTTTGTTTAAGTCTGTGTGACCAGATCGAAATATTTTCATACTAATTAAGTGGTGGACCCTCAGTCTGTCCGAGTTGATTCCCTCCCACTATCCTGGGCAGAAAGGCTCCTGTTATTGTCTCTTAACACAAGATTAATTGAATTGTTTTTGGCTTACTTATTGTTTATTTAAATGACAAATACCATTTCTTTCCATTTTAGTTTTTGAAAGTTGTCATAAACTCCGCTTTTGGATCAAGATCGTGTGTTAAACGTAGTCATGTAGAAAATCATTGTAGATTAGGTACATTTCATGAATTGTCTTTAGCTCTTCTTTTCACTCGGCAGAATGTCTGATCTTGTTTTTATTCCTAAATTCTCTCAGGAGAAATATGGCCTCGGAACCCGACTGCAGAGGCAGAGGTCTGGAGCTCCCATATCCAGCCTGTCTGGCCTTTCGTGAGTAGTCTTCCTGTCATATACACAGAATTACTGCCGACTCCACACACGGAACATATCTTCATAGTAAAACTACTCGGATAAATTGACTTCATACCGTCCAGCAGCGGTCGTTTCATTAATTTCAGTGTGCCATGAAAATCAATTTTGTAGAGCCCTGAAGCTCTGCTTGAGATACATGTGAATCCATCGCAGTGAACTGCTCGTCACCCTTTTATATTCTCTCAAAGTTCCATCATCACCTTTGTAGTAATGCAGCGATCACCATTTTTATATTAAACCACCAGGATGCATTCAAGGACCCTGCTTTATGTCTGTAAATGAATTGGCTGACAGAAGGCAACTTTGATCTTGACTAAAAAAGTAATATAGCTAATAATGCTCATTGGCAATGTAAGATATAGTGTGTTGTTACGTGTATGTGGTCTGACGTAAACATTAGAAAATCTCACTAAGCTTTACTGCGTTCAGTGTACACTATGAGAGATACAGCAGGTTGTTGACGGCAGTATCTGTGTGACTCCACCAGCCTGAAAGAGGGCGAGGACCAGAAGGAGATCACCATCGAGCCGGCCCAGGCCCTGGATGAAGTGGAACCCCTGCCCGAAGACTGTTATACCAGGCCCATCAGCCTACCGGAGGGTAAGAGTTCTGATTGGAGCTCGCTAAACAATACAAATTATTTTGGGTTGAAGCTGAGCTTTGTTCGTGTCCCTCCAGTGACCACGCTGCGCCAGCGGCTCCTGCAGCCCGACTTCCAGCCTGCAGGGGCGTCTCAGCTCCACCCCAGACACAAACACCTCCTGATGAAGCGCTCGCTGCGCTGCAGGGTCGGTACCACTTCACGCTTGTATCCTCCTGGATCCATTTTTTAAAAAGGCCGATCACGTTTACATCATGGTTTTCTGTCTTTATTTCCTCCTCCCAGAAATGTGAGCACAACTTGAGCAAGCCAGAGTTTAACCCGACTTCAATCAAGTTTAAAATACAGCTGGTGGCTGTGTGAGTATTGGTCGTCAGGTTCTGTCCAAACATGTGTCTTCATGAGGATGCAGACCTTTTTTTTTTTTTTGTTAATAATTACAACTACAGACTCATGTTCATGGAATTATCCATGCAAAAGTAGCTTCATCTTAAAAACATTTGAAGGAAAATAACCCCAAAATATACACACTCTAAAATGGTTTCCTGGAAAATACATCAAATGACTCATTTGGGGCAATCCATACTGTACACATAGCACGTTGTTCTCAGGGGTTCATGGTGTGCTTGTGTTTTAACCCGCAGTGAATGTGGTTGAACGCTGTGTTGAATGCAGTCCGTGGGTTTGAGTGTAACTGTGTATTGATTGTTCCTCCTACAGGAGTTACATCCCCGAAGTGAGAATTATGTCCATTCCAAATCTCCGGAACATGAAGGTCAGTGTGTGTGTGTGTGTGTGTGTGTGTGTGTGTGTGTGTGTGTGTGTGTGTGTGTGCGTGTGTGTGCGCGCGCGCGCGCACTGGTTCGGACATGTCGAGTGTTTTATCTTTAACATGTTTTATTTGTTCTGTTGAGTCTGTAACATGCTGCTAACACAGCTAACTCACCACTAGCTAACACTTTTGGAGCTCAAGTCTCTATTTTTATTGTCTTACAAGGAAATTAGCTCTGCTGTCCGGCTATGAAACTAAAACGAAGCCAAAAGATCAAAGTGCTAATACAGATGGTGGTTAAGAAAGAGGCTGAAATGCACTTGGCGTCCCGAATTAGGACAAAACTTAGTTCTAATAAGTGTATTGAGCTAAATGGTGAAAAACAGACCTTTTTAATAAGTGAACTCAATCAGCTTTGAAAGATACATTTTTCTACATCCTGTCTATTTAGGAGAGCCAAGTGCTGCTGACTCTGACCAACCCAGTGGAGAACATCACCCACGTCACCCTGGCTCCCTGTGAGGATGAAGATCCGGACGACATCAACAGCACAGCGAAGGTCTTTAACACTACTTTCTCCTTTTTTATTTGTTGAAATAAACTGTAGTCGCACACAAGTATCAGACAGTTGTGTTGAATACTCATTGCGGTCCAACCACTACCAAACATTGACTGTATGATTTAGACAGTAATGGTGTGAATTATTACTGCATTAAACGAATATGTTAAACCTTTCATGACGGTCCCGAAAACCACTTTAGGAGGCAATAATATGCAAGGGCTGTGTGTTCATCAGCTTGTTTGAGAGTAATTCTGCCCCACATGGTGGCCAAACATCACTGAGCGGAGCTTTAACTGCACCATGGCTCAAATACAGAGGATATGAAATGTGCACAGTCTCAGATTATGGCGCTTGTGGCCACCTTAAATATTGCATATTCTATCAAGCAATATTTCTGCGCCGCAGGGCGGTCTGTTCATTCACGCCGCCTGTAGCAGGTAGCCTTATCATCGTCTTATATGCAGAGCAGTTGGGTCCAACTCTTACCTCCGTCTGTCAGCTGTCACGAGCACAGCTAAGAGTGTTCCTGCGCTAAACGGTCCGCTGAGCTCCCGGTGACTACAGGCCGTTTGTCTTTGGCCTTTTTAGCAATCAAGTCACGGCCCAGGCCGGGTAAGGAGGACGAGCTCCTGGCCAAAAAAAACGGAGCGTCTTCGTGACCCATTTCCTTTCACATTGCGGCCAAATGCAGTGCATTCCTGTCATCCTGCTGGACCTGATATTCAAACACCTGGAGGGCAGCGCGAACCACCGCTTGGTTGATTTCATGGAGCAGCTCTTTCCATAGATCACTGCTTATCTTATGTGTGTTTACACTGATGACTATAAGAGCACAATACACTCATTTTAAAGGTAATTTCCGTTTTGTAGGCTGAGAAGTATTGACCAATCCCGTTCGAGCAGATGAAACAGTCCTCCGTTATCTCTCAAGTGAAACTCCAGTCTCCAGAAATAGAGCCTCTCGCCCCCAGATGATGGATATCCGTCTGTTCAGAGAGTAGTGTAAACATAAATTAGTTGTATTCAATTTGGATTTTTGGAACACCTTCACATGAAGTGAGCAAGGAGCAGCAACACTTTAAAGAGCTTTTAAAAAGCTCAAAGTGGAAACCTGCAGTAAAGCGGTCCTCCATAGAGCCTCAGGCAGTTGTCAGAGCGACTCGGAAGAGACGGACCAGAGACTCAATGGTAAAGTGATTATTTTGGTCTTTATTGTGACCGTAGCGTAAACGCTTATTTCATGTTATTTCAAGAGGAATATGCTCATTTTAAGGGTCATACTTGTATTTGGGTTTCTACAAAAAATGTAATAACCGTTAAAAATGATTCAGTTGAATTTGTCTCTTTTCCCTCTTTGGAAAAAAAAAAAATCCAGAATCTATGAATATGCAAATATTGTTCACTTTAAGAGTCACAAAATGACGCTCGTACATACAGCACACGTCCTAAAGTCAGATGTAAGCGGAGCACAGGAAAAGTTCCTCCTCCAACAAATGAATTTTAAAGCAGCCGTCTGGTGACAAACTGCACGTTCATCATTCTGCTCAGTGAAGGTCAAACAACAATAAGCAAGGCACCGGTATTCATTTTGAGTTGAGGCGGATTGTTTTTCCCCAAAAACCCACAAATTGACATTGGCGTGCTTAAAAACAGAGAAACTTTATGGTGTTTAAAACCTAAGTCGACTCATCCAATAGTCTGAAAGTCACTGAATGTTGAACTGTAACTTTTATTTATTTTAATTTTTTTTAAGGTTATGGTACCCAGCAAAGAACTGGTCTTGGCAGGGAAGGATGCTGCTGCTGAGTACGATGAACTGGCTGAACCCCAGGACTTTCAGGATGACCCAGAGTAAGTGAACACACGCACACCCACACCCACACGCACACACACACACACACACACACACACACACACACACACGGTGTGAGGGAACTCTCGGTCTGATCCCTCTGTTCTTTCCACAGTGTTGTTGCCTTCAGGAAATCCAACAAGATTGGTTTCTTCATCAGAGTGATCCCTCAGAAGGACGAGGACGCGGATGTCACCGTTTCATTTAAGATCCGACACGACTTCCGCAACCTCGCTGCTCCCGTCAGGCCGAGCGAGGAGGGAGCCGACACCGCCGCCGCCGCCGCCGAGGCCATTTGGCTCACGCACCACGTAGAGCTGAGGCTGGGGCCACTCGCTCCCTGAACATGAATACTCTGTTTGCTATCAAACAGTCCTAGTATCGAGCTCTTTCAACCAATTTCTGTGGGACGAGTTTAATTTAAACATGATTTCTGATTCTGCTCATTGACGTGTAAGAACTACGTGCGGTCTGCTCGGCATGCCGCTGTGCCAGAGTTTTAGTTGCGTCACCAGATTACATGGTGGAGAATGCAGTGATTGCATTACAGCCCACTTTATAAAACTACATGAAACCATGACTGGTTTACATTTTGTTTATCAAATTATGACTACATACTGTATTTCACCGCATCGTGACTCTCCTCACCTTAAACACTACCGTTAACAATCACTTTTAGTGTGAAGCAGAACCTCATGTATACACACCGCCATTCACAAGTGTGGAGTCACCTGTTGTGTTCAAATCTATTATTTACCAAAAGAAAGTGCTCAGTGTTTAAAAACTTCAACACACAGTCGGTGTCTCTATAGTGTTACCAGCCAGGGGAGAATACTGTTGTGTTGAGAATACCCAAATAGTCCCAAACTTGAACGGCAGTGTACATAATATTACTTATTAGGAAAATGCTAAGTTTTGTTTTTAACCCTCCACCCTTTTTTGTTCGAGTGTGACAAAGGTTTTGTCTCTGTGCCGCATAGAGTATTTTCTTAAATGGCAAAGTATGTTGTCCTATTCCATGTGTCAGCTGTGGATTTGTTTTGGTATATTGGTCTTTAATACATGTCGAAAATAGCAGTTCATGTTGAAAGATGAGTGAGTTGATATACGTTAACGTAACATCGAGAATAAATGAGCGATGAGCAGAATCAGAACGAGTCCCCATTGTGCAGCACTCTGCTCCGCGCTTTCAGCTTATGCATCCTCGCCAACATCCTTTCTCTGCAGACGGTAATATCGTATTAACTCGCATGCGTCAGCTATAGCAGGTATGGCACACGGTAGACAATGTCGTCCCACTTACTGATCTACTGTTTTCAGATCAACAGACAAGCTTCTCCTTGGGTTGAATCGTTTTATTATTGTTTTAAGTCAAACCGTAACCTTCACTGGCACCGTGGGGAGGAAGCTCTGTAGATCACATTGCAGTACAAAGTGTTGATTATTTAAATATTTTGAGACACTATCATTTTTTTTTCTGATTTAATATCAAATGTATCTTCCTGGTTTGTAGAGCTCACTGACCTCTCTGCCAGTATATATCGTGAGCTGCTGTCATTTTTGGTCCGCAAGTGTGTTAGTAAAACAGAGCCTTCCAACACAGTTAATCTTCTGTACAGGCTAATAAAATCATGTGATACTGTCACAGTACTCTTGACTTTTTTGTTGTTGTTGTTGTTGTTGTTGTTGTTGTTGTTGTTGAGGGCTGACATGACTTTTAATGCAGGTGGGAGTTTTTTCCCATAAGTTGTGACTCTGAAACCCACAATGCCTTTCAAACTCTCCCTGTGCCTCGTGGCGTGTTTTCATTCTCACCACAGGATGGCGCTGCAGGCAAACAGTTTCCAGAGAGTTTGTTTGGAGGAGAGCTTTCGGTGATGCACTCTACAGTATGATCTTGAATTGCCCTACAAGCTGAAACCGTATGTCTGATTATTGCAGTAATGATTTGACTGAGAAGCTACCACACACTCTGATCCAGACAGAAACATTTGAATACTGATCCAAGCAAAAGCTCAATATTAGCTTTTTCAGGGTGTGAGTCGAGCGGATGGAAGGTCTACCTGTCAACATTGGGAGTAGCTAATAATGGAATGTTTGTCCCAACAGATACCATTTGGTATTCAACACATATCGGTCCTGTTCAGTGATGCTTTGCACACGCATGGGACAGTTTATTGCTTCTGGAAAGGCCGAGCAGATACATGGTGCGGGCCTGTCCGCTGTGTAAACGGACCCACTCCGTCTGGGTAATAAAGCCATGATTTTCTTTTATCTTCAGCAGATATAAACAGCTCGGAGGAGTGGCCAGTGTAAGAGCCATACATCACCACAGAATATGAGGTAATAAAGCACACATGGGGCCGCTCCGTACCACTGAAGCGGCCCAGACTCTCACTTCAAGCACAGCTGATGAGAGCAGCAGCTGACTTTGAGTGCACAGCAGTGGTGTGCTGTACCTGCACTTACTGGGTGGTTGCTTCCTGCTTCAGATATATTTTATTTAAAAAAAGATGAGTGCTTGCTATGCTAAACTTGTGTATATAATCATGGCCATACTTTAATTTAGATAAACATGGAAGACTCATTGAAAATGCCTGGGTTGCATATGGCCTTGAATGATCTCCAAAAACACGGCCTGGAAGACAAATTCTAGATTCTTCTGGTCAGGACAATATTTTCCTGGATCAAGACTCTAATTATTTCCTGCTCAGCAACAGCGTGATCTTATTTGTAGAACCTCGTACTGTAAACAGCACAGAAATCTGACCTGTGACCGTGTTACGGGGATTAGAGATGAATATGGTTTCTCCAGCGGTGTTGAGTAAGTAAGTGGGTTAGTGAAGGGCTTTCACGTCCTTCCTCTACCTCCGTTTTCCCTCTTTTGAAGCCTAACATCTTTATTTATAAAGACAGGCCCGGGCCAGCCTTGACCAGATGAAAAATTCCTCACTGAATTAAAAGTTTGACTGCACCCAGGACGTTTCCACAATTACGTCATTGCCCCAAACCGCCAGTAGCTCAGCCGCAGGAGAAGCATGACACAAACGAGCGAAAGAGGAGAAAAACTACACCTCAACAGAGCCATTAAATTCCCTCCATCTCATAAAACCGTGACATCTGGAAGCCTGGACGACTATCATTTCTCTGTGTATTATTACCCCTCTCACGGATCAGTGCTACAGTACATATGAGCATAACAGTGTGCATTCTGCATTCGATCTGTCAAGTGCATAGATATTAAATGGCATGCGAACTCCTGCACACTGTAACTTGCAATCTACTGTATATGTGACATTTTGGTGCTAGACTTTCAATCCTGAGAGGAGTCTTTTTGCTTGTGGACCAGAATAGTTTGTCCTGTCTCTGGGAATGAGTGGGAGAAGCACAAAAAACCGAAGAGCTCTTTTTTTTTTTACTCGCTTCCACCTTATTTTTAGGTTGAGCAGTAGGCCTGGAGGTGCTGTGAGTGATTAATTGCCAGCTTCATTTTATGCTCACCAGACCATCATCTGGTTAATTGGAGGTAATGGATGATGTCTACCCAGATGAATAACTGTAGACATGTGGGCTTCCAAAGCTGGGAAAGCCAAACCTGAGAAACATTAGCTTTTTAGGAGGAAAAAAACAAAAACCCTCTCCACGATGCTCCTTTTGTCATTTTCTCTCCATCTCCCTCCATTTCCTCTCTCTTTCATTCAGTCTGCATTCAGGTGGCTGTAGGTTAGCTGGAATGTTGACTTTGGACGTCTGGTTGAAAAAGATCGCTCTGAGAAAGCAGCTGACCCCTGACACCCCCCTCTGAGCCCCCGTCAGACACGCAGGCTGCAGGCCCGCTCATTGCTTTCATTTAGTATTTGCTCAATTGCTCACCGGGTGTATTACGTGTGTTAGGGCTCAAGTGTGTCAGCACCCAAGCTGAAGCCAAGGCCAGTGCGACACATTGGAGCCCTGGGAGGAATCACTGTAGCCACTGGAAGTCTGCTGTTGGCTCCACATTTTCCCACTCAATGAAGAGACCAGAGTAGATATGAAATCAGACTTAATCAGGATTAGTCTAGTTTAGTGACGGACATTGGATAGCACCATTAGTCACCATACGGTACTCTGTAATTCGGTCACAGTGTTCTCTTTGCAAACCTGAAGAGCAAAGTCAGAACGGTTGTGACCCCACAACAGTCTTCTGTCTGCCCAGAGAGATCAAATGTTTCACCAGTTTTGAGGTAAACATGATACAATGTTTCTTCACAGGCCACTGCCCGGCCTGATTCGACGTAGGCCTGTTCCCGTGATGAGTAAAGAGTGGAGCGGGGAGGCTTAGTTTAGCTTAGCACGAAGACTGGAAACAGCAAAACGGCTTAATTTAAATGAGATATAATGTGCAAATTAGACAGTTGTAGACGTGCTGGTAGTTGAATTTATTTTTTTTGAAGTTTGGACTGAGTCCCCCTGTTTCCAGTCATTATGCTCAGCTTAGTCAGGCAGCTGCTGGCTGTAGTTTCATGTTCAGCTTACAGATACGATAGTGCTATCTTTCTGTACGGAAGCATATCAGTGAAGTTCCCAAATTGAATAAGAGGTGATTTTAAATGGCATGGTTCGTGTACACCAGTGTGCAGAGTTGTGTTGACACCTTGAAGATCAACTTGAGCAATGCATGCTGTCGGGAATCACACCGAGGCTCGAATTTTCCAAAAGGCTTCGGGTCTCTTTGCAGGGATGTGCAATTCCACCCACAAGATATTTCACCCCGGAACAAGAATCATTTTATTTGCTTATATCAGCAAACAGAGACGAGCTTGACTTCCTCTGACTTCTACAGAAAAGAGTCGTGCATCTCTGCACCTGCCACACTCGGATCTTAATTCAGTGATGCTCAGCACAAAATCCTCTGTGTTCTACAAGCATCCATCCCAAAACTAGGTTCATTAACTGCCCAACTGAATTACATGCCCCAAAGAAATTCAGCCACACGCCAGCAATAATGCAAGTTCAATAAATAGAGGATTTCAATTTGGGCAACACTTGTAATAGAAGCACTATTGTTGTCTCATTGTGGACGCCGGTATATAGCCGGAGGCATCTTGGGCAGCTAAGCCCCATTAGGTCTGGCTGAAACTGTGCTGGCAGCTCAGACGCTGAGGACAGAGGCGACTGGTTTCTGCTGTGCAGCTGTTCCAGGCCAAACATACAGCCAAACCCACGGTAGTCCAGCCCAACATGACCCACCAACTCACCACAAATACTGTAGGCCTCAATCCAGATCCAGTATACACACACACACACACACACACATCACTGAGCAGTGCCGTATTTCACCCAGGAGAGGCTAAGTTAAATTGATGAGAGCTTCATTGGATTTACCGTGCAGGAATATGAAATGTCAAACTGTAGATGTGGATTTATTGTGGACTCTATCAGTGGCACATTTCACAGACTGAAGAGGTTCTCCACTGTAGACAGCAACACAGCGTTTCCATCCTAACCTGTGATGAGAGGTCATATGCTCAGACTGTATATTAGAAGTGGATGTCGTCACTGTGACACATTGGTTGGTGGACTGCTGTTTGGAAGCCTTGAGTTTGGTATTTTTGCCGTCACCATCTTGGTTTTTGGCACTTGCCATCTTGGCTTTATGCAACCAGAATTGACACGAGAGGGTGGAGCTGAGTACAACCGAACTCTGAATAAGACATTTTTAGGCTTCCCTGTCAATCACAGGGAAGCCACGCCCTGAAGCATACGCTGCTTTATTCTCTTTTCCTCTAAATATGACTATAGTTTACTAAATGAATACCATGCTGTAGTGAACAAGAATTGAAACTAGCAATTGATAATATAAACTCATGTTTACAATGTTTGCCGAGGTAATAAATCAGGTGAGAAGTAGAGTCCTTTTCTTACAGACTTCTGTACAATCTGACTTGTTTTTTGCCTCCAGAGCCCCCTGCTGGCCAGTAGAAAGAATGCAAGTTTAAGGCACTTCCACATAGGCTCCACCTTTCAGACCTGGTCGCAGGTAGGTCACACACTAACACACCGTTTTATATACCAGTATGCTAGCTGTCTGACGTCAATGTTTTACTAGTACAGAATGCTAAATAACTGTTGATGCTAAGTTCTTGTGTATTTTACTCTTGTGCATTCATTATTGTGTTTTGCTTCCTGTGAGAACTTGTTACTTCCTGGCATGATTTAGTATAATACTTGTAGATTTTGTTTGCCAAACTCATTTGGAGTGTGACTATTCATTAAACACCCTGCATAATTAATTATCCAGCAGCTGATGCAGCCACAGATGTCGAGGTTTTTTTTTTTGATTCAGTATTAATTATCTTTAAGTCCTAAGTGATCTTCTTTTCCACCTGCACACTCTAAACTTGCACCCACTGAATTAATGAGAGCATCATCTGTAAAAAAAAAAAGGTTGTATAGATGCTCAGGCTCAGCTGTGGAAACAGTGTCAGACTAAAGATCCCACCGGGACCGTCGGCAGAGAACAGAGGGCTAACTTACAAATTTCAGTCATGCCGAAGGAATTTAAAATGGATTATGCTTTGCCATCCCAGCTGAAACAATACAACAAGGAACATAGAATGAGAGCATCAAGACACACAGTGTGTGCGATTAAAGGAAAGCTAATTGTAGTGAGAGAG